CTACAGTATTTTTGCAATCTTTATTTTACAGTTAAAATATGTGTTTATTAAATAAAGTCTAATGTTACGACTAATCGGGGATCCCTTTAACTTATTTTAATTTAAAGTCTCTGTTTTTTTCTTCTCTCTCTTCTTGTAGGCCTAAGTGGGCCAAATCCATATTCCAAGTTCACATAAGACTGAGCTGAACTTGTTAAAGCATCGTGGACACAGCTGAGATCCACAACCTGCCCTCTGGTTCTGAGAACATATGACCCAATATTTGAAGCATAACTTGGAGAATGTTTGACAGTTTTGTGCACAGAACCTTTGGTGTCCTTCAGCTGACCAGCAGTTTCCTATTAAAATGTTTTTAACAACCTAAAAGCATTGTTAAACTTGGAGCTGCTATTCAGTTCATCCTGGTTCTTCCATCATCTGGCTGCCTGAACTATTTATTACTTTTTAGTTGTACTGAACAAAAGAAAATGTCACTTTAAATGTGTGAATATTATTTTTGCTTAAGAAAATCTGTGACAATGACAACATTTTAGATTGTTTTTACTCCTGAGTTGCTTCTGATTTTAGGCTACAATAGAAATTTAATATTTTTTTTGTGTATTTAGAGTTGTTTTAGATTTTTGAACGCTGCCTCAGGTTACTGCTGTATTTTTTCTTTTAAAATAAGAATTGAACGTGTAATCTTCTTTAAGGAAAATTTGTTTGTAGAAATCAACATGAAAGCTTTATTCCTGGTGTTTAAAATTAAAACTAAGCTCGGCCTCTATTAGCTTTTTTTCTAGGGCTGTTATTTAATCTGTGAAGACAAAAGCCAAATAAAAACAACTTTGAAGTGTTTGTTGTGTGCTGCTTATGTCTTACCTTTATTTAAAACTACTTTTGCATCACGAGGATCAGGATTTWCCAGTTTGTTGGATTATTCGTGGTAAGTTCAGAAAACTGTCAAACACTAAACTAGCTGGATAGAAAAGTGAATTGTTTCTGTCACTTTGAAAAAGTTAAGTCTGAATAATAATTGAGAGCTATTTTGCTATGGAATTATCTCACATTTGCTGTGTTTTTGTTGAGAAAAATGTCAATATAAATTGTCCTAGGATATGTATTTAAAAATGTAAATGTAGGGTAGTTTTCATTTTAAAAGCACACAAATGGTAAACTGTAAAAAAGAAAAACGTGTGTGTTAAGAATACTCCCAGCTGATTGTGTGGATTTATTACATTTGTTGAAACGATGCACCTCWGTGGTAAGAGACACTCAGATTTAAATGAAAATACAAACATGATTACCACAATCAGAAACAGAACAGTGTTGATGAATCCTCAAAAGAGCAGTCTTCTTCAAAAGTTCTTAATTTTCATCATTTCCTTGTTGTACTGCTTGTGTTAGCATTTAGCTGCTACTTTGCTAGTTTTGAGCTACTGTGTGGCTAATTTTAGCTTCAATCTATTGCTTTGCTGATTTAAGGTACTATTTTACTTATTTTAGCTTTTTAAAATTAATTTTAACTGTTAGCTACTTTTTGGCTTGTTGTTCTGTTAGGTTTTACCTTTTAGTTAGTGTTCTACTGGTTTTATCTTTTTCTACAATTCTGCTTTCGTTAGCTTTTCTGTACTGTTTTGTCGGTGTTATCTTGTAGTTACTGTTTTTTTAATGTAGCTTTTCCCTGTTGTTTTGCAGCTTTTAGCTACTATTCTGCTTGTTTYAGCTTTGTATGTTTTTTGTTGCTGTGATTGCTTTAGCTATGGTTTTAGCTTTTAGCTATTGTTTACAGGTTTTAACTTTCCCCTAGTTTCTGCTAGTTTTAGCTTTTATTTAGAAACTTTTAGCTTTTGGTGTTGTTTTGCATTTTCTAACTTTTAACTAGTCAGTTTCAGCTTTTTTTAAACCAATTTCAACAGTCTTTCTGCCCTTAGCATTTACACTGCATTTATGCAGGAAATGCTATAGTCAGTGGTGGACAGCATTAATCTAAAAATTTGTTCCACTAGCCCTAAAACACTAACTCAAATATTTAGGTCCTCTAATTCTAAAGCACCAAAATAACCCAGTCAACAAGAAAAAAATTGTATAGGTCTTCTGGACGGGTTCTTCTTTAATGAAACGTTTCGTCTCTYCTCCAAGAGACTTCTTCAGTCTGAGAGTTTCAGGCAAAATTCAGGCTTTTAAGCCCTGCCTCCATGTGACTGATACTCACATCACATGGCTATCGTTGACACCTAATTAACACTTATTCTTAACAGGGGGTGGAGTGATACTGGCAATGTAGGAGGGGGACAACTGAAAACGGAGGCCTCACCTCTGTTTAATGATGGACGGTCTTTCTTCACAAAAATGGCTTCTTTTACTCCTCTCTCAAACCAACGTTCCTCTCTATCAAGAATGAGAACATCCTCATCTCTGAAAGAGTGACCGCTGGCCTGTAAATGAGTGAAAATTCTGGCCATTAGACGTAGCTCGTCTGTGTTGGGACATTCTTTTGAACAGTGGCTGCTTAGTTTCCCCGATGTATAACTGGTCGCAGTCTTCCTGGCACTTGACAGCATATACAACATTGCTCTGTTTGTGCCTGTCTCGGTTTCGGATGGAGGACGGTTGGAAACTGGCGTATATCGCAAGCCCACCCACACAGACCAATATTTGCGTTTTGACTCCCACCACCCACTGGAACACAAGTTAGGAGTGATCAGGACTCTGTACCACAGAGCAGACAGTGTCCCTACAAACCCAGGAGCCAGGCAGAAAGAGAAATCAAACACACGACAGGCCCTGGAGCAGTGTGGTYATCCTGACTGGGCTTTCCTGAAAGCAGACAGGAAACACAGACAGGATTCCGTGCAACCTTCAGGTGAAAATGAAGACCCCAAACCCAGACCCAAACCAGTGGTTATTCCGTATGTTGCGGGTGTTTCGGAGAAACTGAGACGTTTATTTTTTAAACATGATGTCCCAGTGGCTTTCAAACCCTAAAACACATTACGGCAAAGGCTGGTTCACCCTAAAGATCCGGTGCCCCGGCACAAACAGAGCAATGTTGTATATGCTGTTAAGTGCCAGGAGAACTGCAACCAGTTATACATCGAGGAAACAAAGCAGCCACTGTTCAAAAGAATGTCCCAACACAGACGAGCTACTTCTAATGGTCAGAACTCTGCAGTTTTCACTCATTTACAGGCCAGCGGTCACTCTTTCAGAGATGAGGATGTTCTCATTCTTGATAGAGAGGAACGTTGGTTTGAGAGAGGAGTAAAAGAAGCCATTTTTGTGAAGAAAGACCGTCCATCATTAAACAGAGGTGGAGGCCTCCGTTTTCAGTTGTCCCCCTCCTACAGTGCTGCTATTGCCAGTATCACTTCACCCCATGTTAATAATAAGTGTTAATTAGGTGTCAACGATAGCCATGTGATGTGAGTATCAGTCACATGGAGGCAGGGCTTAAAAGCCTGAATTTTGCCTGAAACTCTCAGACTGAAGAAGTCTCTTGGAGGAGAGACGAAACGTTTCATTAGAGAAGAACCCGTCCAGAAGACCTATACAATTTTTTTCTTTTTGATTTTTTACCTGGRTTACTGAGATGCATCAGGACAACCCAGTCAACCCTTGAACATTCTTCAACAGACAACGAGTCACATATTGCCATGTTGCTCTCTAAGACTTATCATTGGCATTCCACGGCTGTATTTGACTTCATATATTAGCAATATATTGTCACCTAGAGGATAGTGACATGTGAACAAAATGTGTGACAGCTTTCACCCTCAGCTATTAACATTAACGTTGATCAATAACACTTACAGACCTCAGTTAGTGCTTCTAAATTTAGCCTATAAATTTAGCAAGTGCTAATGCACTAATATATTTTAAAATGAGCAAAAACCCTAAAGCACTAATCAAGAAATTAGTTCCCCTATTGGTGCCTAGGGGAACTGTGCCACCACTGGCATTAGTTTTTTTTATTAACTACAATTCTTACACACACGGCAACATGTTCTGAATCTGAACCTTATTTAACTTTTTAATCCAGTTTATATTTCACACCCAGTGCACTTGGTTTGACGCTCTTTTGCTTCTTGAGTTCTCGTGACCCGAGATTTTCCATACAGGCGCGCCCCCGCGACATAAACACCACGTGACCTTTGCAGACCAATCGTTTATTTGGAACAGCAGCCCAGTGCGCGCGCAGCCGTTTAGCGAGGAGAAGGTAGGAGAGAAGGCAACAGGAAGACGATTAAAACCTCAAAACAAAGTCCCCCGAAATCCACAAAACCGAACCGAGATGTCAGAGGAAAAGCCAAAGGTAAGTTACTGAGACTTTTACAGCGGATTAGTAACAAGGACTCAGTCGAGCTGCTCTGAACCCGATCCTTACATGTGCAATCTAAAGGCCTGGTTTGCACGTTTCTGTAAAGCGGCGCAGTGTTTGTTTCGCAAATGAATGAGAACCCGCACGCACTCATACACACGCTCACACACTCACTGCACATCGTTGCTCCAAAATTAAATACTGTCCATCTTATTTATGCTGTCTTGCTTTTAACATCATGTTTTCACGGTATTGTTGTCAGTTGTGCTCTTTTTTTCTTTGTGGAAACTACCATCATGCTAGTATGTCCGCAACGCCGCTACTGCAGCTGCGGCATTAGCGGCGAAAGAGCGCAAATGGATATGACGCACCTATAATAATAAAAAGAACAAAAGCGAGAGTAGTACATTTTAATTGTTGACTTAAATTCGGTGCTCGKTCGACCTCGGTGAAACAAAAACAAAGCTGTTAGCAAAATCAGCCTTCAGCTAAACTCTTAATTGATTCTGGAGCAGAACCACCGAGCCTGGAGCTAACGATGCTAACGTTAGCATCTGGGGAAAAAAATCCCTGTTAGCCAATATATTTATTGTAATTAACCCTTAATATGCTTCCATACGTTGTAACTGCAGTGTTTACAGTGGGTCACATGTTAAAGGCTGCTTTGTACCTGTTGTGACACAAAAAAATGTAAATTATTACCTACTTACTCATCTGCAATCATTGCTAACACGTATGCTATATCTGAATACTGTGTGGCAACAATGTTTAGTCTTTTTTAAATGGTGACTTTGAGTACACACACAATTTATTCAATTTGAAAATAGAAAATGTGGCATACCTGCAGTACCACAAGTCACATCTCAAGTCACATTGCCTTGAGTTACATTTTGAGCATGTTTGACCTTTTTAATGTTGATAAACCAGCTGATTTAAACATGCTTGTTTTTGTAGGAGGGAGTAAAGACCGAGAACGATCACATCAACCTCAAGGTTGCAGGGCAGGATGGGTCAGTCGTCCAGTTCAAAATCAAAAGGCACACACCGCTCAGCAAACTAATGAAGGCGTACTGTGAACGGCAGGTGAGCCAAAAGCCTCAATCCTCTTTATTTCCATGAAGCTGAAGTCAGAGACTACATACATGCTGTTTCTGCACCGTGATTCACTCTTTACTSACCTTTTGTTTACAGGGTCTCTCAATAAGGCAGATCAGGTTCAGGTTTGACGGACAGCCTATCAACGAGACGGACACACCTGCACAGGTTAGTCAAAACATTTCCTTTATTTCTTCACTGGAAATATGTGCAGTTTGTTTCCTGTTGCTTTTTAAATATTGTATTTATGTTCGTATAATGTGAAAAGTTTAACCCYAAAGATGATTTATAAAGTTGGGAGGGTCTTATTATACACAGGAGTATATATTGACAGATTTTTTTCCTAATGTACCACCACTATAAATTTAAATATTTTCGTATATACAAGTGAAATATTGTGTTGTGGGGGATAAATCATAATTTCTCCCTCTGTCCTCCCGCTGTAGAGCTAAGCATATAAACTACAACAGTAGTTCTTATTTTTTTTACACCAGAGAAGGAAAAACTCTTCTTTCAGTCTCTTAAACGAGATGAAAAGAAGGCATGGACGTCAGTTGCACGTTCGCATGCAGCTGACCAGACGTGTTGCTCCTCAAGCTGAGAAGCTTTATAGAAGCTCGGTCGGGCTCCCTCTGCGTCACCTATTGAAACAAGTGTGTCCCCAAAATAACGTTTCCCCAACAGGAAAGGCTGAGAAATCCTGAAGTCTGTATGAAATCAGTGGTAGCATTATACACGAGGATTAGATAACTTTTTATATGTTTTATGGTAAAAAAAAATGTGGGTTGCATATTACTCGAGATTGCGTTTCACATGCCTAAACATGGTCACTTCTGCATAATTTCCTCTTCAAAAAGGGTTTGTTTTTGTTAAAATGTTTTTCTTTTCTTCAGCTGGAGATGGAAGATGAAGACACCATAGATGTTTTCCAGCAGCAGACAGGCGGATGCTGCTAAGCCCTACCCACCTCATTGACTGCCATCTTCAGGCCATGTCCTCAACCACCTTCACTGTCTCCCTTTCAACGCATTCTTTCAGATTATTATTATTATTATTATTATTATTATTATACTGTTATTTTATTACTTTAAAGATGTCCACAGTTTTTTTTGACAGGTGTGTGTGTGTGTGTGGGGGTGTGGGGGGGGGGGGGGGCTGTTAATGTACTTTCTCAGTCTGAATTGAAGTTTTTGTGTTTAGAGTTTCTGTTGGCCAGGTAGGACAAGCGTTCCCTTCTCGTCTCGCAGGCTGTCATCGGTCCAACAGCTCGTCAGTCCTGGTTCGGTTCTGCTTCTGGCGCTGTTCAGTGAACGCTTCAGCATACAGTAGTTTTTTTTCACGGTTGTCGTCAATATGGACGTAAGGGCTCTGCGTGTTTCTGTCCAGGGGTCGGAGTCTGTGGGCGTTTAGGAACGGAGAGCTCTTCCAGACTGAAGAGCAATCTGACGTTGCCATTTCGCTTTGCGTACTCGTCTGAATGAAAAGTGTTTTMAATGTCTTCGCATTTATAGGTGGTTTTACTTCTGTTTTGGTTCCTTTGCCTCTTATTTTAAAAAATAATATCAGTTGTGGATTTTTTTTGTTCTTCCTGTACAGAATGATCCAAATGGATATTGGATTGTCGTAGAGAGGTTTGGAATTACGATCCAAAGACAAAACATCAGCTTCATATTTATTGTACATCTCTGTTTGCAAGCTTCAAGCTATCTTACTAAAAGGTGTTGAATTACATCTTTTTTTTTCTTCCTTTCTATTTAAAATGTATTGTTTTTCAATATCTGGTACAATTATTATTATTTTGCTCAGGCGTAATTCTTGTTCAGGGGACAATAACTTTGTCAGGGCAGGAGGTTAGGGTTTGGCCATGTAGTCTCTGTAAATATGTTTTGTTTGTTTGTTTGTTTTTATGCAAAGAAGAGGGCAGTGACTTGTCCCCGGGACGCTCTTCCAAACGGCTCTGCATGTTTTAGGAGGTAGGCTGTGGGTCGTCCGTCTCATTTCTGTAGAGTGACTGAACGAATCGAAGAAAAGCAGCTTCCAGTTTTGAGGGAAACCATCCAGCTGAACCAGTTTTCAATGCAACGTTAGCTGCTGAGATATCATCTGCTGCTGTATTTAATTAAACTCGCTTATCTGCAGAGTCACAGAGGAGATATATCAGATGTTGATGACTGCTTTTTTTAGTTTTTTTTTTTTTTAGTTCAAATTTTTTTTGTTTATTAGATCAGCTGGTGAAGTTTGGAAGATTCAGGCCCCATTCTTCGTTTGTAAGTCATTGAGTTTGGCCTCATTTATTCCTGTACGCTTTTGAAGTAATTATTTTTTTAAATCCCCAATTCAGAATAAAATCTGCCTTTTTAGAGCAGCTTGACCCTGAACTCAAAAACCTGCAAACATGTTAGGCTATTTTAGGTCAGCTGTAGCATAGCGGTTGTTGTGAGTTAGTGAATGTGTTCAGAGCGACAAGATAAAATAAGACCAGTTAAAATTAAAAAAAAATATTCCATTTGTTTCGTCACTGTGGTTAGAAAGGCATTTCCCCTGTCAGCTGTCTTCATCTACTTAAACTGTATTTTTAATGCATTCTTTCTAATTGTTTAATCAAAAGTCAATACCAGTATGGAGACTTTTTTAATGAATATATAAATATGCCTGCAAGGAGTTCTTTAAAACACTCATTTTACTGCTCGTTATCTGACTCCTTAACTTTGATCCTTCCTCAGTTCAGAAGCATTCGTTAAAGTCGTGTGGCACAGAGACGCGTTTGCCTCGGCACAAACTAGTTAAAAGACGTGATTGTGATTTCAGCTTTCATCACACATAAAAAGTAACAAGAGCACATTTTATCAGCGCCTACAAGTCAGCCTTCTAGATTTTCACATCGCTGTCTGGACCGAGGGTTTTCAGGGTTCAGCTGATCGACACTGTTTGGGATGAAGAGTGGGGTCCAGGTTTTGTCATGTTATGTTTTTTTGTTTCTCTACTGATTTGTACATTATTTGTGGTCTTTTACTACTGTATACAATAAAAATAGTTTGGTACTCAGATTTGCTTCTGATAATCATGGTTTGTTTTGCACAACAGTTTCAATTCTTGCTTTGTTCCCCACCTTAGATAACCGTGCGCATGTCAGAAACGGACCACTGGGTGATGCCACTGATCCACACAACAATCAAGTCCAAACAGATTTTGGTCGTTTTAAAGCTCCTTCATGTGTTTAAATAACTTAAACTGCAAATGGATTCAGTCCAGCATGAACCAATAGCATTGCTTAATTATCATAAAATGTAAAAACAGCCAAATTAAAAGGTGGATAATATAAAATTAACATCAGTGTGTGTAACAGCAGCAACAATAAATGCATCATCTCACTACATTGCGGATGACACGGCTACACTGAATTTTATGTCAACGTTAATAAAAAGGCTATCGATATTTTCTGTGTGTAAGGTCTGTTGGCCCTGGCAGCCATTTTGAATCAATTAGTTAATGTACTTGCAATAATTACTTTTGCAAGTTTTATTAAAATCTAGTGGTTAATGATTAGTTTGTCTTTCTATCCTTGTTAGGACAAATATTAGGCCTTCCATTCATTTCCAGCTGTTTTGCATGACTGTAGACCCAGCTCAAAACTTTAGTCCTAAACCTAACCCCCAACCCATAAATGGAGTTCCACCATATTAGGACAGGTCTTTGGTCCGCATAAGTAATACTGGTCTTGATGAGATAGATGTGTATACCATTAATGGTCCTAAAAAGGTAACAAACACAAGTACACACAGAGTTGATAAAAAAAACAGGCTATCCCCCACCACCAAAAAGGCAATAAAACAGGTTAAACAAGGACTTTTTTTAAAGCATCGTTTGTTCCTTATTGTCTTTTTCCACAACTAACATATCAAAGTACCAGACTGAAGTAGAACAGTGATAACATTCACAGCAGAGGTTGATAAGTCAAACAAGGAATAATGAAATGATTGTGTTTCTGGCCAGCCTGTATCCACTTTTTTTTCTAAATAGGATTTTAACTCCAGGAAGGAACAGCAGGAAAGATTTACTCGTGGATAAAGAGAAGGTGGAGCGGTGCAGCCCGTATCTTCTGATCCTGATGTGCAGAAGATAAATAAATGAAGCCCATTTGCCTTGTAAATTCACAGGTTGGTGGGTGGAAGGCTTCTGAGAATTGTTCCTCATGAGCTGCTTTTCATTATTAAAAAAAAAAAAAAACAACTAACCAATCATTGTGCCGGTACAACTGATTTGTATCTTGTCACCCAGGTTATTATACAGATATAAGTTCACATTAGTCGCAGCTGAGCATCGGCCTCAAAACATTTAGTAATTCCTGCATTGACAGCAATTGTAGCATCATTAACAAGGCTTGACCTAAAATGCCTACAACTTTTTCATTTTTCTTAATAAAATCAACTTTGGCAAAATGAATTCCTTAAAGTGCCTGTGACATGCCTATCCTTCAAATACAAAAAGTCAAAGAAAGCATCTTTATACTTAATAAAATGGGCATAGTACACATGATTTTACCCATTTTGTCACATTATCAGCCTATTTTCTTTTAAATTTGGCTCAGCCAAACTGAAACAGGAAGTGACATCAAAGAGGAACTCATTAATAAAATAAACTCGCTGGCCTCTGCTTATTATAACAGAATTATTTAAACTTTACCGCTTCTTCATCTCTCTTTGATAGTGACTAAAAATAAGCTAAAGAAACATCAGATTATTCTCTACAGTCTGTGTTGTTAGCCTTTGTTACAACACTCTGTTTACATGCAGACATTCCCCTTTGACATCACTTCCTGTTTCTTCAAATGCCAATTTCTCAACCAACATTCATCTCAGTGATGTGAAATTTGTTTTGCAATATGTTATCAATGTTATCTTTCCAAAAATGCATTGAAGTTTATTACAAAAATTTTATGTCACAGGCACTTTAAAGCACATGTGTCAAACTCATGGCCTGTGGGCCAAATCTGGCCCTTGTTAACCTTTTATTTGACTCCAATGATAATATTTTAAATGCAAAATAGTTTTGTTCCTTTTTTTGTCTCTACATAATGCAGTCATGCTCTCTTTTATTTTTAAAGATAAATTGTTTTTATTGAGTTTCCTTTTTTTAAAACTGTGATTATGATTTAAACGTATATCTAACAAATAATATAGTAGTTGTGAGTAGAGTGTAATGCTAATGATGTGTGTTTTTAAATTTAATCTTTTTTCTTTGTTCCAAACCCTACATAAATATATAATTTGGAAAAAGGAATTAGCATTTCTATAAGAATAATTTGTTAGATATCATTTTAAACCATTTTTTTAAAGAAATATTGACAGGAATTGGTTCTTGGCTCAGACCAAGTTTTGAATTTTGGCCCTCTTATGTCACTGAGTTTGACACCCCTGCCTTAAAGGAACACTTGGTCTTTATGAGTATTCATTGGCTTTTCTGAGCATATGGAGGTAAATTTTGATTGAAATTATTTTTTTGATTGAAGATGCTTTTTGTTTGATTGAATAATAAAAACACAAATTTACCTCCATACAAGCAAGGTTCTAAAAGACGTTTTATACTGATATTGTTAAGAGTTTTTTTTTCTTTTTTGTACAAACCCAGTCAACTTAAAAGCATACCTGCTTTACAAGTATTAAAGATATCAATAGTTGAGTCAACATGTTATTTTTATTTTTCTGCAACTCTTCAGCGAAAAACTCCTCAGGTCTGAGGCTTTCATATCCCAGCTGGGTTTCTGCACATACCTCCTCAAACAGACTGACATACCTAATAAACTGTGGGATATGTTTCAGCTCTGCTCATATCCATCAAGTGCATCAGCCGGACCAAAGGTCACGCTTTTGTTGTTGTTTGGTTTCCTGTTAATAAAAAGAAATACTAGCCCTCAAAACTGAGACAGTATTTTTTTTTTATGGATTCACACTCAGATTTCAGATCACCTGTCAGGTGAGCGTGCTGAACGTGTGTGCGCGCACTCACACGCAGGAAAGCGGAGCGGCCCTCCCCTCTGGCAGATGTGTGTCGTCAGGTTTGTAGCCGAGGGAGGATGAGTGACAGGCAGGGCTGGTGATTTGCATGGCTCCGGTGTTTAAAAGGAGCTGCAGGTGCAGGATTCTCCTCACAGACCTGTGGAACAGATGGGACACATTCTGCTGTGTAGATTCACCTGAATCTAGAAGACAAACCTCAACATTTCTATTAAGATTTTTTTTTAAATCTTTGGGGATCAACATGAAGAACACTCAGTTTTCTTTTTACTTGATGTAGAGATCGAGGAAGCAAATCACTGCTTTTGCTTTCAACATGGAGACATAACCTTCCCATGATGCCCAAGCAGATGTTTATATTTCTCCTTCTCTGGGGTGTAAGGGTCACAGACACAACCACCGGCACATGGAGGCGGTGTACAGGTATTAAAGCCATCTGATTTATTTCTGCTTCTCCACTTTACGTTCATGTCACAGCACAGGTGATGTACAGTTAATGATTATCTGGCGGATTGTTTATGCTTCTCTGGGAATTCCCTCCAGCCAAAATTCTTTTGGATAATTCCAACTGTCTGCGTCTGCTCACTGGGAGTGCTTCTCTCTCTCTCTCTGTGTGTGTACTTGTTTCTACTACAGAGTGAGGACAATTTGCACTGAGGTCTTTGATGTAAAATGAGGACCTCTTCAGTGTCCTATAGTGCTAATTATGTTTAGAGGTGGAATAAAATAAGTTTTGGTTCAGGTTAGGGTTAGGGTTAAGTATAGACTAGTAATTGTTAGTTTTAGGGAAAAAGTCTGGGTAAGGCATAAATACGATTACAAAAAATGAATGGAAGTCAATACAATGTCCTCAGTTTGATGCAAGTGCAAGGATGTGTGTGTGTGTGCGTGTGTTTTTAACAACTTAAATTAAGCATCCACAAACAAGTACAGATGTCGAGCAGATTCTGTTACCGTTCTACAGCTATATCAGGGCAAATATTTATGCGATGTCTTATTTCTCTAACCGTCTCACTTTCTTATATATCTATACAAGAATATCTTCTTGTATTCCAGAATAACCCAACCCAAACCTCATTAAAGTTCGACCATCACCTGGGGCTGTTTCTCACACACGGGTGGGGACATTATGTGTTTATTAGTTTACTGCTCTGGTTTTTAAGTCTTGTTGACTCTTAAAACCAAACTAGCCTTTTAGTTTAGACAGTGAGTAATGAGGAAAAAAAAGACCTTAGACCCTTTAATTATCTGCCATTTCCACAAAACCCGAAAATAACGAGTATTTCTGTTTTACTGGAAAAGCTTTTTCAAATATGAAAACTGTTTTGTTTCTAAAATGTGGGTTTTATCTTCAGCTTTTTAATAAATAAGACCTACTAACTAGCTAATAGAAAAGGCATTTTTTATGGAACTGCAGCATAAATGCTGAGTAAATGACTGCTGAAGTAAGTAGCCTAAGTTAAAACGGAAGACCATAGATTAAAATTAGCAGAACACAAATTTAAAGCAGTGAACAGAAGCTAAAGCTGTTAAACACAAGCTAAAAGCAGCAAAACAGAAGCTAAAAGCAACAGAGCAGAAGCTGAAAAGCTGCTAACCAGAAACTAAAACCGTTAAACACAAGTGAACAGCAACAAAATAAAACCAGAAGCATCAAAACAATGGCTATAAACTAAGTACAGAAAAAGGCTAAAATGAGAAAAACCTATAGGTCAAAGCTAATAGTGGAAGGATAGCTAAAAATAGCAACACAGCAGCTAAAATCCAAAAGTAGCTGAATGGTATCTAAAAACTAAAACTAACAGAATAGCAAAAGCTAAACGCAGTTGAAAATCAGATTTCAGATATTAATGCAGTATATAAATCTCATATAAATTTAGGTAAATATTAAAAAAAGTCTAAACGTTTCAACAACTAAAGGGCACAGCACACTATTCCTGATCCAGCTGAAAGTTTTGACGTTAAGTGTGCAAAAGCAGTTTGTCTACAAAAAGTACAGAAAAAACAATAAACAGGAAAATCACAGTATGATTACTGTAAGAACCCTGCTCCTTTATGAGATTAATACCAGCTTAATCTCACAAGAGGTCATGTTCCACAAGATCTTGCAAGATATGAAATCAGATATAATGAAACACCCCTCTGATCATGAATGAGAAAAGAACTTCTGGTCTTGTCAGATTTCTCAAATAAAATAATTTATTTTAGATATATGACAAGAATAAACATACAAACATTAATAACAATTATTATATGCATAAAACACAAGTTATAACAACGGCATAAAAATTCCACTCAGAGTTGACAAAAACAGTAAGTTTCATGTGTTGCAACCTACTGGCACCTACTTGACTACAGAAAGCTAAACAAACAAGTTCCGTTGTCCAGGTGGCCAATGACTCAGATCCAACAGGAA